TATTGGTATTATATATTATATGACGTTTACATCTTTTTTGCGTTATTTTTTTCGTATATAGCAATTGTTATTGTTAAATAAACGATTTAATCCCAATCGTAGACAATAGTTATTTATTATAAAATACCTTGGAGTGTTCCGATAAAGGTCCGGTTTGTTTGCACATGAATTCAGCATCAGAGAAGTATTAACTTTCCCCATAATTTCTTGGGGGGGGGGGGCAGTAAATATAAGTATTAATAGGTACTCTTGTTAAGCTGTCTTAAACAATGTAGGATGTTAAACAATTGTTGAATTTATATACATATATTTCAATGATGAAATTAAGTAATCCGCAGTTTTAAAAAATTCATTTTTTGTGTTTTAAAAAATGTTGCTAATTTAATTTCTGCCTTATTATTATATATGTTTAATCTTATCATTATATGTGAGAATAGTTCCGTTATTATCTATTAGTTCTCTATTTTGCAAAATTACATCATCAATGTGTTCGACTGTCTGTGATTGCTTCGATCATTAATGTTTTTTTCAATATATTGAGTTTAGTTTTAATTTTGGTTCAACTGTCTCTTCATCTTTTTCTAGTTTTAAAAATTAAAAAAAGATGAAGTGCAAGTTGAATTGAAATTAAAGTATTACTATATTGGTAGAAACAGACATAAATCTGTTTTAGTGCACAGAATCGTCAAGATCACTTTTTGTCTCTATAACGTTATAAACCATGTTTATGGTCCGATTTATTCTGAAGTTATAACATCCGATTATAACTACTGATGTTAGATATCTGGTATTTTACGATGAAATTATTACATCAATATAGTAACTTTGTCGTAAAGTAGTTTACACAGCATCTAATATCAGTATTTATAACGCTGATTATAATTTTGATGTCAATCGAACCGTTTAAACTGTGATTAGTGTTGGAACATACCTAGATAAGAATTGGACTTATTATCAATTAAAATTTTTTCAAGCCACAAGTTAAGATTCTCTTCTTGATGACGAAAAAATGCACGCTCTACCGGCAATGAATTGGATATATATTTTATTTAAAAGTATTACATTTTAGAAATATTACTTAAAAATTTTAACATAAAATTTTAAAAAAGTTAAAGATAAAGATTTTTTAGTCTAACGTTATCATTAATAAAACACATTTTATAATGTTCAAAGTATATTTCATATTTTTTTGTTCGTATCAGATGGATAGCTTTAGAATGGCAACATCAATTTGCATTAAATAATTTGATGCTAATTTGATTAACAAGGGTAACACCAGGTAATAGGATCGGGGATTTTAAAACACTTTTTACAGGCTATTCTTGAGCGAAAAAAAAAACGATACGTGTCCGGCCATTGGCCCATAGTTTCGAAGAAATCAATTTTTTAAATAATTATTGTAATAATTTGAAAAACGTACTATATAAATGAAAATATCTATATTTTTATTAATTTTATTTAATGTTATTACTTTTAATTACTTTTTGCAAGTAATTAAATATTTTTCGCAATAAATTTATTACAATTTTTTAAGATTTGGGAAATTTGGGGGGATTATTAATATTTCAGATTAATTGCGTTGAAAGTCCGACAACCATATCGGCACGTAATTATCATATCTGAAATTAATTCATTTAATTGAATATATAATATATAGTAGTTCAACATCTTAACATTCAGACCATAGTGGCGCTTCGTATCGTCTTTGTAATTACTTTTTGATTGTAATGAAATTTTATAAAATTATATATTAGTATTATAGATAATAATTAAATATTCATTTATGGAATATTTATATATTATTATCATCGTTATCGTCGTCGTTGTTATTATTCACATATAACGTATAAATAAGATTGTGATGAAAATTGTTATAGTTTTCTATGAAATTAGAAATTGGAAATTATGATAATGAACAAGTAAGTAATTTGTTTGTAATCTTCTTTTGATTAATATTAATCAATTTATTAATAATAATAGAAAATTAATGTTTTGTAGACGTATATTGTAGACGGGATGATCATAAAAACAAGAAAAACAAATATTAATACTGCATTGTGAACATCTTACGAATGAATTTTTGTTGCAGACACAATAACTTTTTCCAATATCTGGCGGAAAGCAGATTTGATTGACATTATGGAAATAGCTTCTTTCAGGAATCAATTTTGATGAGAATCAAATTTTTCATTTTTTTAAAATGAAATTCATTCTAAAATTCACTCATAAGATGTTCACAATGCTAAATATTTATGTTTTTCTTGTTTTTATGATTTATATTATCTCGTACAATGTACGTCTATGATTAGTTTTCTATTATTATTAATAAATCGATTTATATTAATCAAAGGAAGATTATAAATATATGACTTACTTGTTCCTAATCATAATTTCCAATTTCTAATTTCATAAGAAACTGTAACAGTTTTCATTACAATCTTATTTATACGTTCATGTGAATAACAACAACGACGACGATAACGATGGTAATAATATATAAATATTTCCATTTAAATGAGTACATATTTAATTATTATCTATAATACTAATATGTAATTTCATGAAATTTCGTTACAATCAAAAAATAATTAAAGTTATTAACTAATAATATTAAATAAAATACAGATATTTTTATTTATACAGTACGTTTTTCAAATTATTACAATAATTATTTAAAAAATCAATTTTTTCGAAACTATGGGCCAATGGCTGAAACGGTCGGACACGTATCTTTTTTTTCGCTCAAGAACAGCCTGTAAAAAGCGTATCAAAATCCCCGACCCCATCACCTGGTATTCTCCCTGTCAGTGTAATCACATAAAACTTTACAAAAATGTGACAACAATGAACCAATTCTATATCGATTTGTTAAATACTACATATATAATTTGTATAACTTAAAATCTATTTCAGCAATAGTTATTTTCTATTGAATGTAAAATGTCTGATATAGGTATACATGAATTAGTAATTTTATTTGAAAAGTATTTGAGATACATGCGTTAAGTTTCAGATTTGTAAGTGATGGTTTCATGATGGCGTTCTTGGTAACCACCAGCAGGGCCCGCTATGTAGTTCACAATTCTGAGGTTTCCTTTTGCGTCATAAAAACCATATCGACCTTTAACGCTTCCGTCTCGACGACGCTCTTCCATTTTGTACTGTCTATTTTTTCTACGAGTTATATACGTATTTTGATTTTTTCAATTGAAAATTTTTATGAAATTTTCCTTAATCGATTTATTGATTTTACATACGCGATAATTAATATAGTTATAATGATGGCAGAGCAATGTATATTACCCATGTCCAGTATCAAAACCGAATACATATGTTCCTGGTCCTCGATGATTCCTTATTTGAAAATCTATTCGACTTCCATCTGGTGATTGGTCTGATATATTTTTCAACATCATAGCGGAATAAATTGTCGAAATATTACTTGTACGTATCGGTATGATTTTTCCATTTGTATTATCACCATATATTGGCAACGTAATCGCGAGTGAAAAAAGTTTTAGAAGAAGCTATGAAAAAAAGCATAAATAATTGAAGCATACAGCCACGACTAAGGATGTAAACAAGTCATATATTATTTAAAACAAATTAATAACAAATAAATAGACGTTTCGGTCAAGATTTGACCATCTTCAGTACAATACAATAAAAATGAATAAGTTAAAACATTATAACTATAATAAAAACGCAAATCAAACGATAAATGTAGTGTTAGCGAGTACAAAAACTTGTTTACAATAAGATAGCAATCGCAACCGCTCATAGCAAAATAAAATTAACAATTAGTTGTTCATCGCGCTATACGAATAAAAAGAAGAAAAACTAGAGTTTTGTTCCCGTGTCACAATACCGTTAAAAAAGCCTCAATAAACAACAGTACGAGTCCCATACGAAAAGACAAGCAAATAGTTCTAGTTCTATTGTAAAACAAAAAACAAAAAAGTTTTAAATTAGAATCAGTAACATTGTATTAAGATAAAGAAAATCAAATTAAGCAATATAATTCTGCCTAGATTACAAGAAGAGAATTAAAAAAAATTTTTTGAAATAACAGAACAAACTTACGCATATCTTAGGGCACGAAGACTCATCGGTACGACCGGTAATTTTCTAAGCCACTTTCTAACAATTGAATAATTAAAGAATTTTGGCTTTTTATAATTTTATTCTTTTATTTACAATACAATTCTATTATTTCTAGATACTATAATAATATCTCTTTTAAGAATTAAATCTTTAGAGAACGGAGGTTTATTTTTAAAATCTTAATTATTTTTCTTTGAATAAGATTTGTTATAATTCATTATTTTTATTTTATTTCTTATCTCAAAAGATGTCATTGTTTCAGCGCCACTTTAATAGGGGCTTTTCGGTTCTATAAAGGACCGAAATTAATGAATAAAATTTCATCAAATTGTATTTAGAAATAAAAATAATAAGGACAATAAGAAAAATGGAACAGACATAGACCGAATAAAGAATAAATTTGAAAATAATATGTAACATAAGCTAAAAATGTAGAATATTACAAAAGAATTTCATTTGTTTAGGAATTTTATTTATTATTTTCAATCAATAATTATGTGATTTTGCATCAGATAATAATAACAGAATATTCATATAATTATATGTTCCGTTTTCGAAACATACGAAATTTATTTAATTGACTTAATGTTTTTTAAGATTTTAATATGAAAAATAATTAGAATTAAAAACTATTTCGTTGATTATAGTTTTTTTATTAGTATATTGAAAAATGCTAAGTATAATATCAAGAAAATATATTATTATTATAAACATAAAAAACAAAAAAAAATAGAAAAAAATCTCATTTTTCTTTTTTTTTATTTACAGTATCAGAGTTTAAATAATAAAATTCAACATTATTTTTAATTATCTGTTATTTGATTAATAATTTGTATAGAAAAATTGCACCTTATTTTCATAAACCTTGCATTGGCGTTTTTGTTAATCTTTACAGGTTCAGTTTTTGTATGTGGTTAAAAAAAATATACAAAATGAACATTCGAAATAAACACACATCAAGTTCTGAAATTTATATAGAAACTGTAAAAATTATATGAAGACTTCTAAGAAAAATTTTTATCAAGAAATTTATCAACATATAATTTAATCACTTTCACATTTTCGTGGTCTGTTGCTTTCCTCGATCTGTATGCTCATTTCTTGTATATACGATTTTCATGTCAGAAGAATATATTATAATTTAATCTTTTGTTAAAAGACATTTCTCGCAGATTATTTTACGGTAATAATACAGGTACTTACAAAGCACTTGATGTACATTATATCTTCTTCGATGAACAATTGCTAGAGAATTGATAGCTCGAACATACCTTCAAGAAGCTTTCACTTTCCCCATGATCAGATCTTTTTCCTTTTCCTGTTTCTTTTTCTTTTTGACAATCCAGTGATTTTCTCACACAAAGGACTTATTCATAACAATGGTCACGGCAATACGATCAGTAATTGGAATAATTGTAAGAGAGTAGTCGAGCGTGTCTCCATCCGGAGGCATGGAACAATATTTTGTTTTGCAATAATTATTTCTATCAACTTGTCTCACCGGTGATACAGGCATTTTTAAAAGCTATTGCATAAATACATGTTGAAAAAGTGAGAAGATTTCATTTGAAAGGATAGAGCTCGCATGAAAATGGTGACAAGAATAATTTTTGTTGTTCTATGCAGCCTTTGCTTGCTACTGTTAGACTCAGCGAATGTAAGTAATTGAAAGAGTTGGTTGTGTAAAATGTATTTATTTATTTTCTAATGAAAAAAATGTGAAATAATGTTATTACATATTATATCTAATAAATGTTTTAAATATTCTAAATTACAATATATATATAGGATATTCTAAAAGTTCCATACTGGTTAAATAACTCGAAAATAAATTTGAGAAAAATGTTCTATTGGATCGGAGGTTCGGCCGAAAAGTTTGGCGGTATTTTATTAGCTCAAAATTATATGTATATATCTTCGTTAAGAATAATCAAAATTTAAATTTTAAAAAAGAGTTTTAAAGCTTGAAATCTCTACTTTCGAATGGTTACTTTATTTTTTGAGTTTATGTGAATTTTGTAATTTTTATATATAAAAAACTATGAGCTGAAAAAAGGGAAATTTTTCTTCTCACCTTGTAGATTTGTCACGTGTAAAAAAAATTTGCGAACTTTTTCGACTGTCTGTATTGTGAAAGTTTAGAGTTTTTCTTTTTACAAAATCGTTTTTTAAAGATGTTTCTACGATTTTTTGTTCTTGAGTTATTCATGAGTTAAGTAAAAAGGAGCATTCTGATTTTGATTGCTCAAAATAACTCCATTCAAAATCATCGTACTGCAATTAAAAAAATCGATTCTTAAAGCTAAAATCTTTATAACCATTGCGCAATGGAAAAATAGGACAGTAATATCACATTTTTAGCTCAAATGTACAATATTCTATTTTTTTTTAAATTGGCAATTACACCACACTTGATAGAGCAACGTTTCTCTACTTGCTCTGCTAGAACAACTTTAGAATCTGTTTTTTTAATTGCAGTACGATGATTTTTAATGGAGTTATGAGCAATTAAAAGAGCAACCAGAATGCTCTTTTATTTAATCCGCGTGTAACTTGGTAATAAAAAGTCGTAGGAACATTTTTTAAAAACAAACTTTTAGAAAAAACTTTAAGTTTTCACGTCAGATAATAAAAAATTTCGCAACAAATATATTCTGTATATAATTTTAAGCTAACAAAATTC